TAGTTTTTCCAGTAGTCATGTATGTATGTGAGAGTTGAACCATAAAGAAAACTGAGTGCCAAAGAATTGATGTTTTTGAGATGTGGTGTTGGAGAAGACTCTTGAGAGTCTCTAGGCTACAAGGAGATCTAACCAGTCCATCCTAAAGGAGATCAGTCCTGGGTGTTCATTGGAAGGACTGATGCTGAAGCTGAAGCTCCAATACCTATGGCCACCTGATGGGAACAACTGACTCACTGGAAAAACCCCTGATGCCGGGAAACATTGAGGGCAGGAGGAGAAAGGGCCAACAGAGGATGAGATGGTTGGATGGCATCACCAACTCTATGGACATGAGTTTGAGCAAGCTCCGGGAGTTGGTGGACAGGGAAGCCTGGTGTGCTGCAGTCCATGGAGTCACAAAGAGTTGAACACAACTGAGTGACTCAACTGACTGACTGATCTTATTAAAATAATAAAGCCAATGTGTAAAGGTGATATAAGTAGACAGGGTATTTGGACACAGAGGGTCTTGCTCAACAAAGCTTTCAGAGGTAAGGCCATGCCATACCCTTCCCCTGAACTCCCCAATCTGGTAGTATTTTTGTACTGATGCTCAGAAACACAACTACTCTCCAGAGTATGATTCTACTAACTAACACTTGTTGAGGGCCTATAATACAGCACACACTATGGTGAGAATATTGAGTTTTACTAAAAGAACTAATATTTATTCAACTTACTTTTACTGTCTACTTCAGGGCAGGCACTGTGGTAGGCACTGAAAATTCAGAGGGAACCAGTGATTATCCTGCCATTTCAGCTTCCAGTTTAGCAGGGGCAGAGAAGACTTACAGGAAGTGGTGACCACATGTGGGGTAAGAATGGTGGGTGGTGGAATTCTAGATGAAGGCCCCAGCTTGAGCAGAGGCAAAGAGATAAGAAATAGCATGCTATGAATAAGAAAATACAGCAGTAAAGGGAAATGTCAGGATATTAGGCTGATGGATAGACAGGGTCCGGTCATATATTCCATGTTTGAGAGCTTAGACTTGATCCTACAGATGAAGAGAAAACCACAGGAGTCTTAAACAGGAAAGTGGTGTCCATTTAGCAGCAGACTGAGGGATGGATGTGGAGGTGATAAGGTGAAGACAAGATGATAAGTAGAGTGGTGAAAGGGGCTTGAATCAGGGAAGTAAGTGGTGGTAGGGAGGAAAATAAGAAAATTTTAAGCCATACATTGTTTATACCCACTGATTTCTTAGATATGAGAAGACTGAATGGGGAAGATGAACCACTTGCCAGATTTAACTGATTTGGAGAACTCAGAAATAGAAGGAATTTTTTGAGGGGTTGGGATGGGGGTGTGAGGATATGTGGCAGGAGAGGGAAGGATGAGTTCTGTTTTGAATACATTGAATTTAAGATGTCAGTGAGTCATTAGGTGAGGAAGCCCATATAAGAGTCTTAGCAGAGTCTGGTATAGCAATACATATTTGGGAGACAATAGATAACTGAAACCATGGGAACCAAGATGAGACCACCTATCTAGACAGAGTAGGGAATGAGAATAGTGGGATGAAAATAAAACCCTGGAGATCACCAGTATTCAAGGAGCAAAGGAGGAAGAAAAGCTGATGAATGAGACAGTTCAGAAACAACCAGAAAAATATGAGACCAGGGAGAGTAAAGTAGCCAAGAAATTCCAAATTTGTTTGGCTGGTAAATGTTTTATTTTGTTTTTTAACAGAATTTGAAACCCTTTAGGCAAAACACATACCTTCCAGTTCTACTAAGGCCCATTATTACTCAAGCTGCACCATTTTCTGTGACCTGTCTTGCCTCTGAAGGCCTGTGTGTTTGTGACCCCTGGAGCAAAAGTCTCTGAGAAAGAGAGAGTCATTATAAGTCTCATATGCAATATAGAGGACCAGAAAGATAGAAAATGGAAGATGCCCACTAATTTAGCAACAGGAAGGTCATGATGATCTTAATGATGCCAGTTTGTCTGAGGTCATGGTGACAAAATCCAGGTAACAGAAGGGTGAAGAGGAAATAGATATGGTGAATGTAGCTACTCTTAAGAAATCTGGAGAAAGAAAAGAGATTAGACAGTAGCTAATGGGGAACATAGGTCTAAGAAGGCTATTTTATTTTTAAAGAATTAGATTCTGAATACAGTTATAGGCTGAGCTAACAGAGGCCAAGTAAGGTAATAGTATAGAGAGGGGGGCTGCCTGGGAGGAGGTTGCAAAAGAAGGTTTTTGAAGGCATCAGTGGAGGGGTGAGCTCTGAACAAGTGGAGGGACTCCTTGACCTCTGAGAGTGGAGAAGGAGAGCACAAAATTCAAACCTAATTAAGATCCGATGCAGGTTTTTCAGCAGGAAAGTGACATTTTAAACTGTGTTTTAAGAAAATTAATTTGGCATAAGCATCCAGATGGATTGGAGTGGGAAGAGGAAGCAGACTATGGCTGCAATTCAAGAAGATGGTGACCCAAACCAGCAAAGTGCCAGTAGAAATGAAGAAAAATGAAAAATCTAATAGACCTTTTAAAAGGCATGAAGACATAATTCTGGGACAGACTGGCAATGGACAATTCAAGGAGAAGGAAGAGTTAAAAATGACTCAAGGACTTGAAGTATTACCCGGGAAGATTGGAATGGTAGTATCAGAGTCAGTAATGGGGCAACTGGAATACATAGCCAATGTCAGGAGAGAAAATATTAGGTTCAAGATATACTGAATTTGAGGTGATGGTTCTCAAATTTTAAACTGTGAAAAGAAACAACATCCTCTAAAGAACAAGTGACTACACAAAGAATGAAAAAAATAAGGGTGGGAGAGAATAAGAAATATTTCATTCAGATAGGGCAACTAATACTCCTATGTCAGAAAAAAATTAAACAAAGGCTGATATATTAGACATTTTGAAATTAAATTAACTATTTCCTAAGGACTTGACTTTATCTGTTGTAAGGAAGATTTTACTATCATAGAAAGATCAGTTTCTCAGATCCAGTAAAACTTTCTCCTAAACATTCAACCTTTTATTTTTCCCTCCAAATCTCAGACATTTAACATCAAATGTTCTTTCTAGGTCACAGAACATGTACAACTAAATACTTTTCCAAACTATGTACATTGGTTAGCAATTCAAGTACTGGTTTGCTGCTTTTCAGGTTTTGCCTTCAATTAATGCCAACAGTTACTAAGAGCACCACTATTTCACGTTCTTTATTCCATAATTTTTAAGCTAGGAGGGACATTACACTTATCAAAAGGGCCTGAGCATGGCAAGTGTCAGTGCTTTGCTTTTAATTGAAAATAGATTTATAAGTACTTCACCATGGTTGTGTGAAGAGTAAAATGAAACCACAAATAAGTTTCAGTGAACTTAAATTCTGTTTTCTTGCTTGTTCTTTGTTTTCTGAATTTTAGAAAATAATGAGGGGAAGGTGTGTTGGAATATAAAATTATGGACTAGAATAAAAATTCTTTTTTCTGTTTAGTCATGTGAAGTAAACTTTGCATGAAAGTAAACTTTGGTGGCAGAATCATAATCAATTTGAGTAATAAATTGTCTCCATAGTGATGAAAGGAATCTAAGTAAAACTGTGCAGTAAGCTGGCATCTGAACATTGTAGGCTATCTGCAAAATTCTTGAACCAAGAAAAATTGTGTTAAAATTGCCTAACCAAATGGCAGATCTAAAAATCTCCTCACATTCTTCCACAATTTCAAAATCTTTCTTATACTTCTCATGCAAAGGTCACAAAAGTATATTACAATCAAAATACTCAACATGTTAAAATTAAAAGCTAACATGATGGGGGGAGGTGGTGCATATTACATGATTTCAAATAATATGAACTCAACTGAAAGTCAAAGTGGTAGGTGAGCCATTATCAAAATTATAGGCAGCATGACTTAATAGGAAAAAATAGTCCTGTTTTTTAAATGCAGTAAATGACAGCATATTTAAGATGATGAACATGATATAATACTCAAAACTTCCAAGTATTTACAGTCCATTTCATTACATAAAAATGAGAAAGCACTCTTCAAAGCCCAGAAAACCACTGCATTTAAAGGGCCCTCTCCCTTTTAGTTTCTCAAATATGATCCAAGATTTCAATTTTTAAAAACTCTGCATAAGTTTTCAAAAAATCATTCTCAGCTCCTAGGGGATTGATGTCCATACATATTTAATATTTGCATATTTACTATTTGCACATACAAAATCTCCTGAAGGTATTTTAAATTATCTCAGAGGTAAAAGACTTTACAAACCATCTAACTCCAAACCCCTCATTTTATGGATGGAGATATTAAGGCCCAGAAATAGGAAGTAACCTAAACAAGGTCACAGGGCCAGTAAGAAGTAAAGCTGGGACTAACATACAAGAGCCCTCACTCTCAATCTATTGCTCCTTCAACGTTTCATAGCTGCCTCTCAACCTTAACATCTAATTGTGTGATATGTCAGAGTGATCAACACACAGAAAGGATTACTGTATTCCTTTACATAAGGATTAAACAAAAGAATGGATGCAAATGTAAGTGAGTAGATAGTCTATAACGTTATTCACAAAATATATCCTGTTTCTGTTTTGAAGAGTCCAAGCCTCGGTCTCGTCACTTGTTACAGCAGTCACCGGGTTCCACTAGACACCAATCTTAACAGCAAAGAATCCGCTGGTACATCCTGCAGTTTAGACTATTCTCGCCAGCATACACAGAAGCAAGAAGACTCACCTCTACTCCAATCCCTTTGGCTCCGAGCCCCAGACTTCCCTGTCCTATACTCACTCTTTACCTGGTGTTGGTGCATTGCATTTGCATTCTCCTCACTTCCTTTACACCTATCTCCCTCAGTTTCTCCATTTAGACCAGATGTCCTTTTGTAACTGTATGCCTCAGTCAGCCCTCCCCCACACCACACGCCCCTCGATCGCTTCATTTCTCTGTCGCCAAATCTCAGCCTTTTCAAACCCCATAGCTCCCTCTCGCTTACACAGTGATGTGGCCGGCGCCCCGCACCAATACAGGGTCGGGGGCATATCTCCGAAGATGCTCTTCGCTCACTACCCGAGGCGGGGGCGGCGTTTCTTCCACCTGCTCCTCTTCTTCCTCCTCCTCCTCTTCGTTTTCTTCTTCCTCCTCCTCCTCATCTTCCTCGTCATCGTCAGGCCCTGATCCCGACGACGACGACGACGGCGACGACGACGACGTTGCCGCTTCTTCTTCCTCCTCCTCCTCCAGTTCCGAGATGGTGTCGAACTCCGCCATGTTGGGCAGCAAGATGCTCATCACGTGACCTCTCTATCGCCGCCACCCTCACGGAGAAGAGTGTGAACCTGCTGAGGTGCAGAAAGAGGAGGGGGAACTTAATGCAGAGAAACAGGACGGGTGTAGGGACTGGATTTAAGGAGATGCGCCTGCGTGGTGGGGTGGACGTGGCGGGGCGGGGGGGGGGGGGGGAGGCGGGGGCACAAGGGAGAGAGGAGAAAAAGCAGTGTACGCTTGCGCGGCTCCAAGGGAAAAGGGGCGTTAGAGGTGAACTCCAGGGAATTATCGAGGTCCGGTATGCGGGTGCTGCTCTTAATACTGCTGTTTGGGCTTCTGCTGCTTGTCTCCCAGGGATGTATCTTCTGGTTTTACTTCCTACTAATTAATAATGGTATTATTACCCGCTTTGCCTCCAGTGCAGAGAAAGGATATTCTATCAAAGTGAGGTTAGAACTTTGCCCCATATATCTTAAAATATTCACCAATCCCTTACGCTTGTTCAGCATTACAGTTTAAAAGACTTTTGCTGCAGGACTTTGCCACACCCTGGGAGGCATTTTTATTAACATTTTACTGAAGGGGAAACTTTCTATTACTTCTTTTACTATGTAATACTTATGGAGGACTCACTAAGTGTCAGGGACTGTGCTAAGTGCTCTGTGCACAGATCTCATTTAATGCTTCACAGCCCTATGAAATATGTACCATGATTTCATTTTACGCATGGGAAACCTAGGTGAAGAGAGGAGAAGTAATTTGCCCAATGCTTCTGATTCCAGAAGCCCAGCACTGGTAACTAAAGGGCTATACTTCCTAAAGTTGTTTGGAGGGGCTTCATAGAGTGGTGCCTTTTGGGCATCTTGAAAGATGTTTGAATTTTGGAGTTTATTTTTTCTTTTTCCGCGGGGAGGAGGGAAATGGGGGGAGTAAAGGGAGCGTTCCAACCCAAGGAAACATCGATTAATATCATCCATTTTCCAGAGATTGGGCTAGACTCTAACATACAATATTTCAATTAACCATTAAACAATACTGTGGGGATAGTCATCATCATCATTATTTTATAGATGACAAAGCAGTCTCAGGAAGTTTAAGTAATGTATTAAGGTCTCTGGTGACCTTTTGTCTAAGATTTCTTTTTCAAACACCTCCTTCCTTCCATCTGCTAAATGTTACAGAGATCACATATTTTGAGTTTCCAAACCATGTCTCAAGCTATTTCATATTTGGCAGTAGCACAAAAATTCATGTCATAATTCAAGGATCATTAAGACAATAAAGTAACACAGCTGCTAAGTAATAAAACAAATACTGTAATCCAGGTATTCTAATATCAGCTTCACTGCTCTTTCTGCTACAGGATGGCTGCATCCCAATTAGTTGGTGGGACTGAGGAAATAGATATAGCCAAGCCACACTTTAATGTAGGGTGAGTATTATATTAACAGTATAGCAATGAAAACAAAGCATTTAGGCTGTCTGAGGGAGGAAGAAATTCGTTCTAGGAAAGGGGCTGATCAAACCATCATCGTTATCAGGGAATTTGTGTTATTAAAATGGTAAAAAAAAACTTGTACTCAAAAACTTGATTATTTTGGAACTTTAAAAATAAGTTGCAACACTCTCAGCAAAAAATCTAGGTTTTTATAACAGAACTTTATCTACTAACTGGAAATTGTAATTAAAGATGGAATGTTAAAGAATTTTATAATAGACTTCTGTTATGTCTGTTATTTTGGGCATTGATAATGTGTCATATGTCATTTATCAGAGGAAAATACCTTAGACTTAAGATCAAATCAATATTCTGCACCAGTTCTCTTTCAAAAAGCAAAACAAAAACACAGGTTTAAAAAAAAAAATTCCAAACATATTATCCATGAAAGTCCACTAAGTCAACCTCTAGAAGGAAGTATTGTGCTGATGACTACTTAACTGGTAGTTTCTTCTTTTTACCACTCAGGATTAGACTAGGTAGGGATATTTGAAGAGAAAGGATTATACAGAGTGTACTTGTGATAGGTATAAATGAGGTATTAGAACTATGGTGAAAGTGAAGAAATTAAGGCTGTGGGATATGGGAGGGAAGGAGAGGAACAGTGAAATTCCATAGTCAAGATGCAAAGAAGCCCCTGACAGTCAGATGTCAAAAGGACAAAGCAGTTAAGAGAAACTCTATGCTTTGAGAAACACACAAGTATAGTCAAATCTGCGCATCTGTTTTTACTGCATATATGGTGGGCTGAAAAGGCATATATGATTTCAAGCTTAATTTGTTTTGCAGAACTATAGGAGAATTTGGAATTGGTCAAGCTGAGAAAAACACATTTTTCAGCAAAACACAAGAACATGATTTTCAAATGATACTTTAGCCGCCATCAAGGATCGTAAAGCTAGGAGTAGATGGAGAAGAAAGCACACAACCTCTTCCAATGTGCTAAGCAGACCATGGGGTTAATTGTCGCATCTGATGGCAGGGGACCTGAGGCAAGAGATCACAGGTTTAACTATTTGAGGGGGTGGATTTCAACCTTAAAACAGCTGAAACCAATTGCAAATTTGAAAAACAACTTTCTTCCTCCCTCCCTCCTTCTGTTCCTCCCTCCCTCTTTTTCTTTCTTTTTCTATTTAGATATTTATTTATTTAAGCATATGACTTGGTGATTTTAGTGAGTTCGCAGAGTTGTGCAACTATCACCACAAACTACTTTTAGAACTTTTCTGTCACATTCAACAGAAATCAGAGTCCCATTTTCAGTCATTCCCCACTCTTTACCCCAGCCCCAGGAAATAATTAATCTTTATTAATCATTAATCTTTAATAATTAATCTTTAATTAATCTTTCTTTCTGTATAGATTTCTTTTCTGGGCATTTCAAATAAATTGAACCATACAATACGTGTTCTTTTGTGTCTAGCTTCTTTCACTTAGCATAATGTTTTTGAGGTTTGGTCATGTTGTGTCTTGTATGAATACTTCATTCCTTTTAATTGATGAATAGCATGCCTTTGTAAGGATATGTCACATTTGGCTTATCCATTCACCAACTGTTGACATTTGGATTGCTTCCACCTTTGGATATTATGAAAATGCTGTTATTAAAATTCACATACAAGTCCTTGTATGAACATATGTTTTGATTTCTCAAGGGTGGATACCTATGGGTGGAATTGCTAGGACATATGGTAAGACTGTTTTGAATTTAAGAGAACTGCCAAACTGTTTCCAAAGTTGCTTATTCAGTTTGCATTCCCACCAGCAATGTATGAGGATTCCATTTTTCTCCACATCCTCTCCAACATTTGTTATTGTCTTTTCGATTATAGCTATTCTTGTGAGTGTGCAGTGCTATTGCATTGTAGTTTTACTTTCCATTTCCTGAATGACTAATGATGTTAAGCATTTTTTCACGTGCTTGTTGTTCATTTACAAATGAACTTTCTTATACTTTCTTTGATAAAATGTCTATTCAAATTTTTTGGTCCATTTTAAAAAATAAACTAAGATAATTGGAGATTCATATACAATTGTAAAACATAATACAGAGAAGTCCCGTTTAATCCTGTACTCAGTACCCTGAATGGTAACAACTTCCATAACTATAGTACACTATCATAACCATGAAACTAACATTGACACAATCCACCATCTTACTTAGGTTTCTAGTCATACATGTACTCATTTGTGTGTGTGTATTTAGTTCTATACAATTTTATCACAAATGTAGGTTCATTTAACCACTGCCATAGTCGAGATACAGAAGAGTTACATCACCACAAGGATACCACTTGTTATCCTTTTATAATCACCTTCTCCCTTTTCATAACCATTAAGCTGTTTACCACCTTTAATTATTATAGTTTCAAGAGTATTATGTAAATTGTATCATACAGTGTGTGACCTTTGGGCATTGGCCTTTTTCACTCATTATACTTCTGAGAATCATCTAGGTTATTGAGTACATCAATGGTTCATTCCTTTTTATTGCTGTGTACTATTCCACAGTATGACTGTACAGCAGTTTGTTTACTTATTCACCAACTATTGTTTCCCCACATTTTAAATATTATAAGTAAAACTACTATGAACATTTGTGTATAGCTTTTTCCTTCTTAAGACTGGTTATTTGTTTATATATTATTGGTTTATAAGGTACCCGTTCTTTATTCTAGATAGAAATTATTTGTCAGATATATGGTGTACAAATATTTTCTCCCAGCCTGTGGCGTGCCTTTTCATGTTGTTAATGGTGTCTTTTGAACTAAAAAAGTTTAAAATTTTGATGAAATTCAATTTATCAATTTTTTTAACACTTGTGCCTTTGATGATATATCTAAGAAATTTTTGCCTAGTGCACTGTCAAAAAATGTGGTCTTTGTTTACTTCTAAAAGTTTTTCTAAATGTCTGTGATGAATTTTGAGTTCATTTTTGTATATGGCATGTAGCATGGGTCTAAATTCATATTTTTGCATGTCCCAGCACCATTTCCTGAAGACTAACTTTTTTTTTCCTGTTGACTTGCCTTGATACCTTTGTTGAAAATCAGTTAACCATAAATGTATGGGTTTATTCCTGAACCCTTAATTCTGTTCAGTTCATCTATATGTCTATCTTCATGCCAGTACCACACCATCTTGAATACTATAAATTAAAATTGGAAAATGCTAAGTCCACCAAATTTGCTCTTTTTCAATAATATTTTGCCCTCCCCGAATCTGTGTTTCCACAAAAATTTTAAGATCATCTCATCAATTTCTTCTAGAAAAAACAAGTGGAATTTTGATAGGAATCACATTGAATCTGCATATGAATTTGGGAATACTGGCAACTTAACAATGTTAACGCTTCTGATCCCATGAAGGTCGGATACCTCTTCATTTATTTAGATCCTTAATTTCCTTCAGTGATGCTTTGTAGTTTGCTGTGTACAAAATTTGTATTTTTTTTTGTTAAATTTATTACTAAATGATTTTGTCCTTATCATGTCCATTGAGTCAGTGATGCTATCTAACCATCTCA